GGGCAGGTCCCAGCCGGGGCAGGGGCTGGGTCTGTGATCGCCCCGCCTTCGGGATGGAGTCCAGGCTGGCGCGCTCATCCGTGAACGGTCTGGGTTTTCTTTGTAAGCACATCGAGGCTGACGCTTTTATTTTTTATCCATGATGCTGCTGTTGCCATTGTTTTGGTTCAGTCTCTCCCCTGCACTTCCATCTGGCAAGGCGCGTGGCCAGCCCGCTGGTTCCCTGGTTGACCCACCATTGATTTCTGTGGTTGCATTCTCCATTCCGCCCTCCCCCTTTCCCCGATCCCCCCACACCTCCCCCGCACCCGACACCTGGTTTGTCCCGCTGCTGTGCCTACAAGCAGCGGGGGTGTCAGGAAGCCGGCTTTGCTGTCCCGTGTGCCTAAGGCTGTTGATGTTTTCCATTCGCAGACATGTTGCTGGATGACACTGGTGAATGCTCGGCTCGGAAGGAAGGAGGCAGGCATGTTAAGATAGTTGTCAGCTTTCAGGAGGAAATGAAGTGGAAGGAGGTTAGTCGGATCCCTTTCCCCGCTCTGCCTGTCCCTTCCCCAGGTAGACGTACCTAGCTTAGTGACGCAGTCGTGAAACCGAGTCACCTCAGAGCCTAAGGTGATTTGGAAATACAAGGGGACTTCAAAAAGTTTACAAAAAAGTGAAACTAAAGTACGAATTTATTTTGGTACAAAAGAATTTTGAAATCCATGTGTAGGTTTTTTCCTAATAGGCATTTTCCATGAACTTTTGAAGCCCTCTCACACAACTAACGCTTTTCCTAACTAACTGTAACCCCCGGCAGCGTTTTAACACAATGAACGTTAACAAATTTCCCTTTCTCCTACATTTGAAAGCCTAACAAAGAGTACCAAAAAAGAAAAACATGGTTCCACATTGCATTTGCATGTAGTTACCCAAACACTAACACCCACCAGAAATGGCGTTAGTGAGTTTAGTATATCCCCGAGCACATCAGAGTGGCATTTCCTGTCGGAGGTGCAGAATGAAGCTCTCCAAATTCAGCTGGCCGAGAGCACCAGCTATTGGTGGGCAGAGGCTGCCCGTGAAGTGGACACCGGAGATGGGCACCCACGTCTGTGGGCATGCGGGAGACTAGACGTGGAACTGGTGCCACATCCTGACTCACTGGCTCCGGGAACCTGCGTTTTCTCAGTATAGATTCTCTTGTCTTCCAGAATCTAGGCACCTTCTAGCCTCTGTACAACTACAGAGGCTATTTCAGAGTGAGAGTGAGGGTTGACAGTGAAAGTCGGCCATTCGTCAGTGATCAAATCCACTGGTGCTCTGAGTAACCATCAGATACTTGGAAAAAGACTTGATGAGTCACATTGCAAGTCTCCTGGAGTTTCCCATTATTTCTTAGCTCGTCAAGCCAATATGCTGTTGCAGTCGCAGACAGTAAGGGAAGCCTCAGTGCCTACCCAAACAAAGCGTCTGCAGCCAGACTTTGTTTGCCATCGGATTCCACTCTGTGGTTGCAGCTTCACTGCTGGGGGGTGAGCCCAGCATTTTGGAGTTGTCAGGACTTTAGCATCATCTCACCTACAAAGACCTAACGGTGGGGCCAGCAGATGGCTTGATAGTTAAGGCACTGGACTCCCACCTGGTTGACTACAGTTTGAGTCCTGGATCTGGTGGCTTGAAAATCACACTGGGCACCTGTGTGTGCATGCTCAAAATCCCAAGAGGAGAGTGGAAGTAAAAGGGATTGCAGCGTGGCCATCTCCCCTGAAGGCTGATTTCTCACTTTCCCTTTGTCTCTCCAGCAAGCACACATGTCATATGGCAAAAAGCCTTACAAAGAATAAAGAAATAAATAAGGACATTAATCAATAGCTCTGTTTTCAGAATGTAGTAGAGTGATGGACTTTCAGAGCGAATGTCATTCATACAACGTTGCTTTTTGTTTGTTTGTTTTGTTTTGTTTTTTTGGAGAGGTTTTTGCTATAGGGCGCGTGCGCTCGCCAGAAAGACAGAGAGACAGAAAGCGAAAAATCACCACCCCCAGGGGCGATGGCCACACCGCAGTCCCTTCTCCTCCATTCTCCTCTCGGGATCTTGGGCATGCACGCACATGCACCCGACATGAGTTTAAGCCGCCGAGTCTGGGACTCGAACCGCGGTTGGCTACATGGGAGTTCAGCGACATAGCCATTATGCTAACTGCTGGTCCCATACAACATTCTTTTTTTAGAATTATTTTATTTATTTATTATTATTTTTAAATTTGACCAGAGAGAGATGGGAAAGAGAGAAAGCGAGAAAGCAAGCCACCAGGTTCAGGACTCGACCTACGGTTAGCCATGTGGGAGTCCAGTGCCTTAACCACCATGCTACCTGCTGGCACGTCACACAGCATTCTTACAGCAAGTGCAAGCGACATCTGGGAATGCTTTGCACATGCTAGTGATCAACATCAATAGATCTGCTGCTTTATAAAAGCCTACAAGTCAGTTTCAAAAAGGACCTCACTCTGGATCACCGCAGCATCCAGGTGAGGCTGGTCGAGCAGGTTATTACCTCCACTTCACAAGTGAGAAGCTCAAGGCCCGAGCATCACTTATGGAGGCCACAAGGCAAGTGGCAGTGTCATATCAGCTGCAAGGCCAGTCCTCTTTCCTGTGAGCTGTGATGATGGTCTTAACTGCCAGGTGCACCCCCAACACGCACCCCCTCACCCACACCCCACCACAGTCCCAATGCCCTATCGTTTTGAGCATGTCAGATTTTTTTTTTTAAACCCAACAGAATGGAATGTTCTATCTACCAGCTTTTTTTTTTTTTTTAATTATTATAAACAGTGAACCCTCACTACACAAAACTGTCTGGGCAGCGATACAAAAAAAAAAAATACTAAAAAGATGATCTTTCTGGTGATCTTCCCAGTTTTCCTACAGGTTGACTATCCCTAATCCAAAAAATTTGAAATTCAAAATGCTCCAAATTCAAAACTTTCTGAGTGCTAATCTGATGTCACATGTGGAAAATTCCATGCCTGACGTCATGTGACAGGTTACAGCCGAAACACTGCTATCTGCAAACATAATGTAAAATGACATTCAAGCTAGATGAATACGTTGTACAGGAAACAGAACCGAATTTCGTGTTTAGTCTTGGGTCCTCTTTCCCCCAAGATACCTCCGTATGTATGTGCAAATGCTTGAAAATCTGAAACGCTTTATCCAAGCATTTCAAATAAGGGATATCCAACCTGTAGTTTTCTGACCTCTTAGTTAATTAGAAGAAAAGCATTAACGTTAATAAAAAACAAAAGAGAAAAAATAGAAACACTTTTTATCCTGAAGTTTAAGACTTAGTAAGGAGACAAACTTACTCTACAAATACGACAGAAATACGTGGAACTGGGCGTAAACAAGTAAAGAATATCTCATTATATAAGTTGTGTACAGAACCTTTGAGGCAGTATAAGTTCTGAGCCTGGTGGGATTCATTGCTGAGGCTTCCTGGAAGAGGTGAGTGTGTAAGCAAGATCTGGAAAGAGAGAGGTGGCGGACAGAAGCAGGGGTGGATAAGCAGGTGGAGAATGTGTGGTCTCTGCACAGAACAAGGGACGCTCAGCAAAAGCTTCTAGATTCTTCCTGGCCCCCGGAGTGCTGTCCTGTTGATAGGGCAGGGAAAGGGTTGAAGGTTATTGCACGTCATCGACATTATACGAGATATGGAAACAGGACTTGTATCCCCTTCTCAAACCCTTGGTGGATTCTGAGGCAGTCTGCATTCTCTGGGAAACACCCACCCGTTTTTCACCTGCGTACCTCTCCTCATCCATAGGATTCCAGACCGCACCTCTTTCTTATTGGCTGCATTGGAGTCAGTGGCAAGACGAAGTGGGATGTGCTCGATGGGGTGGTTAGGCGGCTGTTCAAAGTAAGTACTTCAAGAAGATGGCGGTGGCCCTACTCCTGAGGGGGTGGGGGGCCTGGGCTTGCGGAGGGACAGAGAGGTTTATGTCCTGAACGGGCAGTTTCTCGAGCCAGCCTCGCCCTCTGCATCCTTATGTCTCTAAGACCTGTCCCCTGGCCCTCAAGGCCATGGAGGCAAGATGGTAAGTATAGACTAGTGACTGGCCAGGTTCTCTCTCTGTCGGACGGTGCACGGGCAGCTAGTGAGCGTTATCTGACAGTTACCTGAGCCTCTCACGGTGAACTGGCCATTGATGCGATGCTGAGTCACCTCGTAGCACAAATCAGACTCTCGTGTTAGCACAGAGTGCTTGCCCGGCGTTCCAGGCCAATGACTGGCGTCGGGGCTATCAGCTTCGTAATTTTTCTTTGTCCAGTCATATCATCGGTTTGGGTGTTTGCCAGAGAAGTAACTAATGAACCTTGAACACAGGGCATTTGAAAGGAGGTTGTGCTACATTTTTTTTCTATTGTCCTGAAGTAAGTTCGACAGCCGTCAGTGTTCATTAATCATATCCCTTCAATGGTAATAATAGTCTGCATTTGTGTGTGTACCAGAAACCATGCTAAGCCCTGTATTTTCCCACTGAAAGGTAAGGAAAGTGAGGCTCAGGTCTAAGGTTGGGCCCCTGTCTACGGTCACAGATCTAGAACTTGTTAGTCTAGACAATATTAGTCTGAGTTGGTAACTTCAAAACCTGACTTAACCAGCACATCATAATCCCTTTCTAGCATCTAGATCCAGGTGGCTTTCACACAGAGAAAATCTGTCCTTTGACCAAAGATCCTGGCAAGTCAGTCTATACAAATGTGACCAGGCAGGCCAACAGGTGGTATAGTGGTTAAGGTACTGGACTCCCCACATAGCTGACTATAGTTTGAGTCCCAGACCCAAAGGCCTGAAACTCATGCCGGGCATGTGTGCGTGCATGCTCAAAATCCCAAGAGGATAATAATGGAGGAGAAGGGATTGTAGCATGGTCATTGCCCCGATGGGATAATGTCTCACTTTGTCTTTTGTCTCTCCGGCAAGTGCACATGCCCTATAGCAAAAATCTCTAAAAAGAAATGAAACCAGGAAGACATAGGAATGTCTCAGTACAGACCACTTCTACCTTGGCCCAGACCTCGTCTTTGCTGACAGACAGTTGAGATAGCCTTAGATCAGAAGAACGTGAGTTTGCGCTAAAAAGAGCCATGGAGACATTATAGAAGGTGAAGAAGAAACAAGTCCACTGAAAGCCTATCAGTGGGATGTCAGCTAAGTCGCTACGTGGATAACTCATACCCCACGGACCTTAGTTCCACGTTCACTGGCCTAAAATCCTCTGGTCACTCACTGAAGGGGGCACTTCCCAAATTAAGTACACATGTTCCCTCCTAAAGGGCTGGAGCTGACTTTTTTCTAGCAGACAGGGGGTTTGCTCTTTATCAAACTGTATAGTCTTGGAGCCAAAAGAAGGAGCTAGTAGGGAGAGGTCTTGGCCAAATTCCTTTCCCGTGAATTTTCCAGTGCCATTCACATCTTCAAGACTTCAGCTGAACTTGGGAAATGCAACCCAGCTTCTCCGTGCTTGGTTCATCCAGACTAAACGTTCATAATCTTATTAGTTTTTTTTTTTTTTAATTTCCCCTTACCCTAACCAAATAAATGTATATTTTAAGTGGCCTGTAATTCTAAGGCATAATCCCCATAGGAAGCTCAATTTCAACTCAATCACCCCACGAAGGCATAAGTCGTAGGTCAATTTTAGCCACATCTTTGATGGGGGTCTTTATTTTATTTTATTTTTCTACAGGAATACATCATTCATGTCGACCCAGTGAGCCAGCTAGGGCTGAATTCAGACAGTGTCCTGGGCTACAGCATCGGGGAGATCAGACGCAGCAACACCTCCGACACCCCCGAGCTCCTGCCCTGCGGCTATCTGGTTGGCGAGAACACCACCATCTCTGTGACTGTCAAAGGTAGTTGGCCTGGCACGGAGGTCAGAGCTTTCAGGAATGGCCGTTCCTGTTTTGTGAGTTGGCACAGGAAGCCGTTGGCTGTACATACGTGCGTGGGTTTTTTCCTTCCACCAGTTACTCTTACCTAAGCGAGTCGAATAATCTTTAGCATTTTTTTTAACCACAGTCGGAAACAATTTTAGTTTATTGCCAAAATTGTATAACGAAAGGTCCCACTAGCCTTATGACTCAAAGTCGATGGAATCTTAATCATCCTGTTGAAATGGGGCCTTACCAGTACCCAAGGACGGCTCTTGCCAACAAGCCTTGGCCGTGATCCCACGTGGGGAAACCACGACTGGCTATAGGCTGCAGGGCAGTCTCCCTGAGCATCCTGATGGAACGGCTCCATCTCTGGTCCCACGCATGGCTCTGCTGGAGCTTCCGACTGCCTCCTCACCCGGAGATGCTAAGCCCCAGGCCAGAGATGCATAAAGTTCTCTGTTAAAGAGAAGAAAAGTTGCACGGCCATAGAACTTTGGGAAGCTGCATCTTTATCCCCTTCAGGTTTTTGGGCAGGAATG